TGTCATGATATGTAGATTAAAAATTGTTATTTTACGGTGATAATCATGTTTTCTTGTGCCCAATAATGCATAATTTCATTTGATAAACACGTTTAGATTGAATGGTAATTTATAATCAGTCACAAGAACGTCGAATCTGAATCACTTGAAAAAAACACGGGGGTGCTTAACTTTTTTCCAGGTGTATATTTTGTTAACAAGTAACAACATTTAACTTTTCCACACTAGCTGCAGTAATGTTTCATTTTTATAATAATGTTATGATACTGTTAACAGCTAGCTGTGTAATACTGTAACCAAAGTTTAAATGTTTTTTTATATGAATGAAGAGACCTCCACTATAATAATATGGTATTTTTGATTAATAAAAGTCAACCATATGGTCTTAAAATAACCCAAGAAAGTCAAAGGTAAAATAACCTTAATATATTTTGTAAATGATTACTTTAGTCAGGTTATAATCCAGCTATTTCAAAGCTTACATCTTTATTTCTAGTAATGTGATTGTTTCCAACTGTTTTTATTTTCATTTTCATATCGATTATTTCAAACTTTTCAATTGAGATTAACTTGTTATAATTATTCATCATGATAATAAAAACAAAATTATAGCATTGATAAATAGGATGTCTGTTTTCAAAATTTTATAAAAAAGTTGTTACTTAACAAGTCATACCATTTGCATTTTCACTTATTTTAGACATTAATAATATAAAAAAAATCTTTCTCATAAGAATTCTAACTTCCAAACAGTTAAAAATCAATTCTGTAACAAGTTTAAATATATGTTCTCATTTGCCTAATGATACAGAAATTGATTCTGTAACAGTCTACATTATAAGAGCTGCAAAATGATAAAAAACCCTATAACCCGAGCATTTTCGAAAGGGTTATAGGGTTTTTATCATTTTGTATCAAGACTTTTTGAACCTTATGTTTATAAGAGCTGCATGTGTCCTAAACAATACAAACTTTGAGGAAAACAAACCTCTTAAAGGCATGAAAATATACCATGGAAACATTTAATTGATGTTCATGTTGTTGTATTATATTAAAAATGTCAGTTATTGACTGAGGCCTTAACTAAATTCCTGTTGATTTCTGCTTTGTTAATTTCAGAAAACCTCAAAAATCTTTTAATGTAATTAATAGCCCAATCATATAAAAACACTGACACCTAATGTTTCTTTTTGATCCTATATAGCAGTGTAAGGATGTCTGACTGTTTTTGGAATTAATTTCAAAGACAAATGGAGAGGGGGCTGAGATTCACCTTAGATCTGCACTTACTTATACTACATTAAAGAATACAGTTATTAATTTCTGGTAAAAAAATTGAGGGATCCAGACTTCCTGAACCCTTCCCCCAGATTAACACCTCCCCGTACAACACTAAAGAATATATTTACAGAAACATTAATGTAAAAAAACAGTAAATTCAGACTTTATTTAACACTTAAGTAGCCAGAGAACTAATGGTGCATGCTGCCAGCCAGTTTTTTCCTCTAGTCAGTAGTTCAAAATTATATAGTTCTATGCTTAACAACATACATAATAGTAATATTTTGATTACTTTAATAGTTGAAATAATCAAAAATTATAAATAATCAGAAATCCTAATTTCCAATAATAAGTTTAATCATAATTTCAACTAATTGATTGTTATAATAATCAGAAAAACTAATTTTTATTAATTGATTTTTTCCATTACATTAATTGATTAGTTTATGAGACATTTACCAATGTAATTTGTTGCTCACAGATAACTGATTTTATCAACTGTTTGATTAATTCATCCATCTCTAGTTGGCAGGACCCAACATTAACTTTGGAAACTACCTGTCATATAGAACAGGAAAGGGTAAATGGTTACCTGTCCCAAGAAATGTTAACTTTGTCCTGTCTGAGTAAAATGCCTCTCTATGGCAGTATAGTATAATTATTATTATTGTGGGTAGTACAAGTAAATTGTTATTAAATAATTTCATACATAATTTGGGAAATACATTGATTAAGATTAGAAGGAATATAAATTATGATGAATTTTTTGTTTAATCATTTTATTTTATTTTACTTTGTACTTTCCACTGCTTTTCATTTTATTTCTGGGTAATTCTTTTATATGAAAAACACTGGACTTTAAAAATTCACATCTGAAACATTTAAGAAATGACATTAACATAATGGAAGTTGGAGAGAGTTTGAGGGTGGCGGGTCTTACTGTATACATGTTACTGAGGATGTGGTGCTCTAGAGAGTAGCTTAAGCCTTTATTTTTAACTTGAAAAAATAATATATTATTTAATGCAATAGAAAAATTGTCATTTGATGAATGATGAAAAATAACATAAATAATGAATGTGCGTAATTAAATATAACATGAAAGAATAAATTGCCCCCACTTACCTGAATTTGGCCAGCTTTGGTAAACTGAGATAATGATACTTGTCTTCTATAGCAGGAGCTTGACATTTTTCAAAATTATAACCAATATTCCTTCTCCAGTATGGAGTCTATCCAGTGGAATGAGCCTGTACACATTTAGTTAGTCTCCTCTTTCAGCTTGGAAATTTTCTTTATCTCTCTTTTGCTCTCAATTTCTTTATCTTCTAATAAAGGCTTTACATCACGACTTTGACAGCTTTAATGGAGAAACTTGCATATACCTGTTCTACACCTAGGCCTTGATTTTCATCTTCTGTTATGTCCTAGTTACTTTGGTTTCTTTATTTTTTAGCTTACTTCATCGGGATGCCTTACTTTCTGAAATTCACCTCCTTACTTCATGATGAGATTTTTTGAAAATGTTCTGTATACTTCA